TCATCTGTTTTGTTACTTCCTGTGCTATCAGTTCAGAGTGTCCAGGTGGTTGATTATCAGATTTTTCCACCTTGTTTCCCCCAGAATTTGCCTTTTGCCAGGTGGAAGTCTGAGTTTGTGCCTTACTTAAATGTCTTCTCATTTTTGTTTTTGTTACTGTCCTTGGTTTAGTTCCTGGGTTGATACTTTGAAGTTTCTTATTGCAAGTATCTTTGTTGATGTATTTAGAACACTTATGGAATGATTGCTTCTCAGAAGTGTCTTCCAGATATAGCTGGTCTTTAGGTTTTGAGTCTCTAATGCCTCTGAGGCTATCTCATTTTCATTATACCAGGAAGGACAACTGATTAGATCAATCAATCACAAGACCTTAGCCCAAGTGATACAATCAGCAACACAATAGCATCAAGTACCTCTTAGAAAATGACAATTTGTGATAGTTATTAACCTATTACCTTTAACTGTGTGAATTAAATCAAGATTACGGACCAACCCAACTATATGTTTATAGTGAATAAACTCTTCAATATAATAACTTTACCCTTCAGGATGGGGAGTTAGAAGGATTTGGGGAGGGAGGAATAGGTAGGTAGAGGAATAGGGGAAGGTTAGCAGTGAGGCCAGGGGGCACAGATGAGTGAAGGAAAGAGAAGAAAAGAAAAATAAAGAAGAAATACAAATTAGAGCTAGAAGAGAAGCACAAAGGGAAATGAACAATGTGGGACAGCAAGGGAGCGAGGGAGAGAGAAAGAAAGAAAAGTGAAAAAGAAAAAAGAAAAAAATTAAAGTTTTAAAAGAGTAGAAAAAGAAGAAAAAATTTTAAATAGGAGCAAAAAAATAGTGGTAATTTTGAAAGTAACAAATAAAAGATAAAAATGAAGGGCCTCCTTCAGGGTATGCCTCGTCTGTCACAATAGACAATGTGGGTAGCAGTGTACAGTTATAAGTCAATGAGTCTCAGTAAGTCAATCACAGACCCATGAGATTCAGGCAGATTTCTGGCTGCAAGTCCCAAGTTGAGCTCCTTGACCTCCTGTAGGGTTGAACTCTGCAAGGTTCTACTGCAGGTTCCAGCTGCCTTTCCCCTGAAGATAGTCCAGGTTCCGATGGGAGGTGGTGATCCCTCCAACTTACCAAGCACAGTGGTCTGGTGTGCCTTTATTGCAGAGATTCTCTTCACTTTTTCCAGTGGGCTTCAGTTTTCATCAGGGAGCCTGAGAGAGGCCCTCTCTCTGTTGTTCACTTCTGCAGCTCAGGACAATGGCCTTTATGTCCCCCTGTGCCTCTGTAGTGTAGAACCAGGTAGCTGCACATCCAAGAGGCCAGGGGTGGGGTGGGGTGGTGGTGGGGTGTCTGTTGTTCCAGGCGCCAGTTCGGCTAAGCTGGCAGCTGGTGGGCATGTCTGGAGGGTCCTCACAGTCTCTTGGTCGCAAGTGGGCGGAGTGAGCCAGATGGAGCTGGGCTCAGTCACCCGCGACCACTCTGACTGCTCAGCGCAAAGAATCAACAACTGGTATCTCATCTTATTAAAAAGCTTCTGCACTGCAAGAGAAACCACCAGTAGATCTAAGAGACAACCTACAGTGTGGGAAAAAAAATTTAATAGCTGTACCTTAGACAAAGGACTACTATCTAGAATATATAAAGAACTGAAAAAAATCAAGACATGCTGCTCTTAATCTCCCTCAGAATACTTCCATTCATTTCAAACATATTTATCCCATCATTCTTGCCACATTCTGAAGCAGTTCTCAAAGTCCTTTTTCATGAGTGTCTATGTAGTTGAACTGTCATGGCTGCCTCAATGTCCTGAATTGATTCAAAACATTTACCTTTCATGGTCACTTTGACTTTGGAGAAGAGCCAGCCATCAAACAGTGCAAGATCTGGTGAATAAAGTGGATGCATAAAGCCTGACTTGTGAATAAAGCCTTTCTGTTGGCTAGCACTTGGTAACAGTATTCATTATATTTTTTTTATTCCACCTCCTAAAGACACAAGTTAATCTCAGTTTGCTGAAGCATGTAGGAGGATGGCAACAGCTAAGAATGAGTGGTGAGGTAGAATAGACAGGACTGGCCAACTCGTGATCTGAATTTGGAGGTCAGGAGAGGACTTTAAGATGATTCTCCAATTTTTGCATTGAGTGACTGATAGGAAGAATGGCCATCTTTTCCAAACTTGGGCATGAGAGTGGAGGACTTGAGGAAAGAAACAAAATGGTTAGATCTGAGCATGTTGAGTATGGACACATCCTCAAATCATCTGACCTCAGCATTGGTCCCTCCCTGGACCAAGTGGTCATCTGCTGAGTAACCATTGGTATGTCCTTCCCAGGTGTACCCGGAAGGAACGGTGTGAGCGGTCCAGGGAGCCCCGAAGGTTTGCCTCAGAGATGAAGCAGTGTGTCCGGCTGACAGTTCATCCCAACAACATCTCCGTCTCTCAGTACAACGTGCTGGTGAGGAGGGGCAGGGTCCAGGAGGAAGAGCTCTTCCCACCAAAGGCATCTGAGTCAAAGATCCCTCAGAGGGGCTGGGCCAAGTCTAGCAGAAAGAGCACCTCTGAATCAGGATAGGGGATGTTTCAAGTAGCTATGCACTGGGGACCCAAGAAAGGAACATGGGTAGGAATATTGGTGAAGAAGCTCTACTCATAATGAGTAGAAAGATAAGAATAATGGCCCTACCAAAAATGATCAAAAGAATGGCAAAGGGTTCTGGGAATGATATCTTCATCTAAAAAAAGAGAAAAATGCATGTGCAAATGGAGTAAGGGGTGCAGATGCAGTCCAAGTTCTAGCACTGGGCATTTAGTGATTGGTGGTATTTTTTCCAAAATTGGGACCAATGGATGAGATCTTGTGCTGTGTTTTCTCACCACACAAATCCCCTAAACGTTCCCATTTGCTGGGGTCAAATGCATCCAGATCCTAATAAGACTACTTTTTTATCTCTTTCCATCCCACCTCCCCCTCCACACTGCTTTTATAACAAAACTGATCTCTCCTTCTCTATGTTAATGTTGCCTCTCCTTTGTCTACCTCTTTTTCTTGTACTGTTTCCTTTATACCATACCTTTTCTTTCTCCATTTGTTGCTCTTCCTCTCTCTTCCCTGCCTGGCTGTTCACAGCTGGTCCTAGAGACATACAATGTCCCAGAGCTGTCAGCGGGTGTCAACTGCACCTTTGAGGACCTGTCAGAGATGGATGGGCTGGTGGTAGGCAATCAAATCCACTGCTACTCGCCAGCAGCCAAGGAGGTGCCCCGGATCATCACGGAAAATGGTGAGTGCTTCCCTCCCTAGAGGCAAAGCTGGGTAGCAGGCTCTCCCTCCTCCTGCCTGGATAGAAGAATTCATCACAGATGTGTGGGGACTGAGGGAGCCTATAGGCAGGGGTGGCTCAAAGGAAGTGAGTTGATGAGTGTGTTACATACAGGAAGGGGGGGATGAAGTTTTCCTGCTTTGCCCTTGGAATTGACTGTTATAAGCCTTTTGTCTCAGTCCCAAATTAGCACCCAAGAATCCATACATCCCAGGGAAGGGACAGCTGCAGAGAGAGTGAATGGAGGCATGGCCAGGACAGCAGCAGAGCCCACTTTGGCTGGCCTGCAGTGGCCTTGAAAGAAGAAAAGCAGTCAGAAGCCAGGATGGGAGGCTAGGGAAAAGAGGCCCTGCAGCCCTCTGCTCACATGGGTGGGCCTCTGACCTGGAGCTGCCTCCTCCTCCCTTACCTTCCCACAGCTGCCTGTTGTTTATGTCCAGCTGCCCTGGGAAAGATGGAACTGGACAGAGGCTCGACACTGGTGAGCCTGGGCAGATTGATTCCATGTTGTCCCTCCCATTTGGGCTTGTCACATTTGTTTGGAGCTGATTGATTAATGAGGCTCTAACGGAAGGCAGAGAACAAGGCTGGAAGTAGGGGCCTGGGGTCAGGACTGTGAATTAAACATGGGCTCCAACCCCTGCTTGGCAGCAGCTGAGGATTCCAATGCCTCCTGCTCCTGTGGAGCTCTGGGTTCCCCAGAGAAGGTGGCATCAGAACTGGTTTCTCTTGACAGAGATGGGAAATGAGCTCCTGTGTGCACACACTTATACATACCTACGAAACCACTGAGTAGCTGTGCCAGCAGCCTGTGAGGTGGTGCATTGTTTTTCCTGATTGTTCATCAGTGTGTGTGTGTGTGTGTGTGTGTGTGTGTGTGTGGTCCTGTGAGGCTGGTAAAAACATGGCACATGTGATACACATTTGAATACCTGCCTCTGTGTACATTGTTTGTGAGTGGAGGGGTTTCCAGCACTTGTGGCCAACAAGTGCTAAAGTGTGGAAGGGAGAGTACATTCAAACAGCATTCTGTTTCTGCTTTGGGGGTTGCCCTCGGGCTGGGCTTGGCTGAATCAGAGACCTGTGAGAGTTGATGGCATCCCAGAGGGCTCCACATTCCCGAGGTGCATGCCTGTTAGTGGGACCATAATCTCTTGGCTGGCTCTGCTTTGTAGGGGACCACCATGTTGTACAGCTGCAACTCAAGTCCAAAGAGACGGGTATGACCTTTGCCAGCACCAGCTTCGTCTTCTACAACTGCAGCGTCCATAATTCGTAAGTGGCCCAGCCTCACTCAGCTTCCTATTCCTGGGATCAAATTGGTGCAGAGATGAGAAGACTTCACCACACTTCCATGGAGTCACAACTCACATGAATGCTACTCTCCCACTAGGCCCTGAAGTGCAGGTCAGGACACGGGCTGGCAAGGGCCAGAGGGAGCCAGAGGTATGCAGGGAAGGTCAGGAAGCCTGGCTCTGGGTTTGTTTGACTTAAGCATTTCCTTCCCAACTGCAGGCATAGAGGGCAGAGGCTCAGACTGTGTTGTCATTTTAGCTAAGAAACATAATCATTTTGTGCTCTGGTATCCTCTATGAAGAACCAATAAAAGTACTCCTTCCAAGCTAGCAGCAGATATTTAGCAACTGACATTGCCCAGACCCTGTCCCATCAGAGCAGCCATGAGCTGGGACATGATGCTGGTTGCTGTCCCTGGTTGGCAGCCCTACTTCTCCTGCTAGAAGCTACAATGGGTGAAAGAGCCAGAACACAGGACAAAATTAGAACCCTACCTGACCCACTGGTCAAGCACTGCTCATCTTTTGCTTTTATTACCTTAGTATTTCCTCTATAAAATAATGGGGTGGGCTGTACATTGTTGATGTGCAAGATTTTTTATTTTTCAGCATAGAAACCTTTTTATCAACTGAAATTAGGTGTGGAAGCCCAACATACAAAGTAGATGGAAGTAGAAGCTACTTGGTGGAGGGCTGAGGGGGCCTGGAACCCCTCTCTCTAGGGCCTCCCCACAACTTGCACATTCCCCAAAGGAGCTCCATATAACCCCCGGGGTCCCATAGAGCACAGTTTGGGAACCACAGGGCCTGACCTCTTCATGCTATCCTTACTTTAACATGCTGCTCTGGGTTCCTATCCAGACAGGACAGGTAATTGGTGAAACTAGGGCTTGTCAATCTGGCTGGGGCAACTGTGAGTCCAGAGCTTAGCTTTCTTTGGGGCCCCATAGAAGGAGGTGTCCAGCTGTCTCAGGCAGAAACAAGTTGTTTCAACACTAGGGACCCGCTTCTGGCTTCTTGGCATGAAGCTGTCTGGGGCTTTATTTCTTGGTTGCCTAATCTTTCCTTCTACTCTTACCCCTAGGAAAGCAGAATAGGTAGATGAGATCATGTGTGAAGCTTCTGTACTATCTCCTAAATGATTTTAAGCATTGCTGTGTGCAAAACAATCTGTTATTCATTAAATACAAAAGGATTAAAATTAATAAAACTCTATGGGCTGGGGATTTAGCTCAGTGGTTCTGCTGCCTGCTTCGAAAGTGCAAGGTCCCGAGTTCAAACCCCAGTACCAAAAAAACCAAAACTCTAGGACTCAGTCCCTGCCCTCCCAGTGTGTATCCTCGCGGACTCATGGAAGAGCTGGACACCTAATAGTGAGGTATGATACAGGATGCCAAGATGGTCCCAGAGACATCAGCACTGAAGTTCATGGGGGAAGGATCCAGAATAGCCAACTATCTCTTGGCCAAGAAGTCCCTATCTTGTGTTTGAGAGTGGTTTCTCTGAATAGTAATATTTTTCCAGACCCAAGAGACATAGGCCTGGTACTTGGGGTTCACCCAGTTCTGTGATCTGTGCCTCTCCTCCCCTGTGCCCAGGTGCCTGTCCTGCGTGGAGAGCCCATACCGCTGCCACTGGTGTAAATACCGGCACGTATGCACCCACGACCCCAAGACGTGTTCCTTCCAGGAGGGCCGTGTGAAGCTGCCCGAGGTATGTCCCCAATGTCTGGATAGTAGCGGCCCTTGCCATGAGTTTGAGGCACAAAGGCAGGCCTTCTCTCAAGAGGAGAAGCCAAAGGAAATCCTGGGACCATGCCTTCCCCCTCAGTGGGACTCTAAGGACACTTCATGAAAGCAGTGAAGAGGCTAAACTCTCCACTTGGCCATGGGTTCTGGGTTAGTCCTGGTGGTACAGCTACAGATAAAGAGGCAACCAGGCCACTCGGCCAGGAAGAGCTTCCTCAAATCAGGTAAGTTCTAGAACAATTCCAGAGAGATGGAGAAAGTATCCTAGAAATAATTGTAAGTACACCACAAAACTATATCCAGGCTCATCTTCAACCTCTCAGAGCACTGGTCACAGAGATGAATGAAGACCAAAGAGGACAAGTTAGTAAAGGGAGCAGAGGCATAAGAATGAATGGCAGACATCAGCCAGAGCGGCAGCTCTCAGAGTGTGGCTCCCAAAGTAACAGTGTCCCAGTCCCATGAGCAGAGGTGCCTGCTCCAGCCAGCCAAGCTGCAGGAGGAGCTCAGCCAGTGTGGGCTTCACAAGCCCTCCTGGGGAATGTGATGCTCAGCCCCTTGCTCCCTTGCTGCAAATCCTCAAGGGAGAGGTGGACTCCATGGCTAAGGCATTGTCTTTCTTTTCCCTTCTTATTCTTATTCTTCTCCTTAAAACTCTTCATCACCAAAATGCAAATGCTTTCTGCCCATGCTGTGACCTCTGTTAGGCTATCAGTATATGGGCCAAGACAGAAAAGTCACTGGGTAGAAGCACATTTTGGAAAAATCAGTTGTCCATGCATTATGGTGGTTCTTATGAGCTTGTGTGGCTCTCGCTGCTGCATGAGTCATGAGTTGTTCCTAGCAAAGGGGTGCTTTCAAATGCTGTTGTTTGGAGTTGAAAGATAGACACCTAAAGTATAATTACAAACATATGCAGCATTGGTTGGGTTCCACTGAATTCTCTGGCAGCATTGTGCAGCTTTCCTAACTGCCAGGAGCTGCAGCCAGCCTGGCCTGCACCCTCCCAGCCCACATTGGAGTCAAACAGGCCCAGCACCTTTACCTCCTTAGTCCAACTCCTGGATGTACCTTTCAGCCCCTTCAAACACCTGCACAGGTGGTACAAGCAGGGGACTGTCCTGGGGGTGCAGAGATCTGGAGACAGGGAGGGCACAAAGAGAATAGAGAGGCACATCATAGCCCTCTCCCCCTCTCCCAGCCTTGTACCCCATTAGGAGTCCTGACTTTGGCCAGACCCTGAATGGCAAGAGGGAAGCTGTTGTGTGTCTGAGGCTGAAAGGGGAGATTAATACATACCCATCCCCACACCTGCTGTGCTGGGCACCCTTACTGCAGAGGAACAGAAAAACTGTGTAGCTGACAGAAATTCTAAGCCCAAATCCCACTTGACCTGGGTCTGGATGGCTGCGGAATCTCAGGTGGGGAGTGGGCAGATAGACTAATTTTAGATAGAAGCAGGGGGTGGTGAGGGCATCAGAGAGAGAGAGGAAAATCCTGCTTGAATGGGGGATGAAGGGAGCAATCAAGAAAAAGCAAAAATCTGAAAATTTCCATCAAGACAATTAAATAACTCAAGGCCTTTGAAATACAACAGATAGCTCAATGGCATTTTATTTCATTTTTCTTCCCTTTGGGCCTTTCCACACATAAACCCTTGCCTGATACAGCAGTCTGAAAAGCTAGAGAGAGGCTGGAAGCCACTTTGTCTCAACTTCTAGCAAGATCCTGGCAGGTTTCAGATGGAAACAAGAAGAGATTATGGAAACCACAGACACAAGACCCTCTTCCTCTGCAAGGAGTCTGCCTGGCTGGAAGTGGCTGCTCTGATTCATAATCAGGAAAGGGGAAGAAAGCAGTTACATCTTGGCTCTAAGCAGGAATGTGAGTCTCCTGTGTATGTGTCACCTCTGTGCTTTTCTCTAACAAAGACAAGATGGATCTAAAGGTAATAGGAGAGATGTGAGTCAGACAGCCGGCGGGCATAACTTTGGCATGAAGAGCTGGTAAAAGGCTGTATGATCTCATCAGCCCAGCTAGACCTTATCTTGGGCACAGGAGTGGAAGGGCAGGTAGACTAGCCCCCAAGACCAGGTGACAGCCCAAGGAAGCATCCTGTCTGGTTTCCATCTGAAATCTGCAAGTAACCTGATGGGAATCAGGACAAAGTAGCTTCCAGCCTTTCTCTAGCCTCTCTCTCTGGGTATATCTGCCAGAGGTTTGATGTGTAGAGAGGCCCAAGACTAAAATGAAAGCAGAACAATTGAGCTATCTGATAGATTTCAAAGGCCGCTAATCTTTTAATTACCTTGAAATAGGTGTGTAATTTCTGCTCTTTCTTTTGTTTGAGCCACTCATCCCACGCTTCTTTCTTTTAAATATACAAAAGGAGCTTGCATCTGTTGCTCAGAAAAAGAACAGGAAGAGAACAAAATCAAAACCCCACCACGTTTCCCAGTGTAATGCAGAGATCTCTGCGGCAAAATGGTGGCTTCAAATACCCAGACTGGGAGCTGAGCACGAGACTTGTTCAATGTCTGACACAGGCAAAATGTGCTGGGGACACAGAGCCTTGCCAAGGATTTGATGCCAGGGCCCCCATATTAGTTTTCATCTTTGCTCTGACCAGATACCTGACATACACAACTTAAAGGTAGAAATGTTCCTTTTGGCTCATAGTTTCAGTACATGGTCAGCTGGTTCCAAGACAGAAAGCTCATGACACACGGCATAATGGCAAGCTGCTTCAGTCATGGCAACCAGGAAGCAGAAAGCAGGGCCAGAAAGGAAAGGATCAAGGACCAGATATAGTCCTCAAGGTCATGCCCACATACTCTACCCAGATACACCCATAAGTGTGCTTTTTTTTTTATAAGTGTGCTTTACCAAGCTCCTAAGCATCTCTCACCTCAATCAAGTTGACAATCAAGATTAACCATCACAGTCCCCAAGAAGGAACAGGCCTGGAGCAATATGGCCAATAGAGTGACATAGAGAGGGACCCACCTACCGATGCTGCCCTTCAATTCTTTCCATTTCCCAAGAGCATCTTTATGGTAGCTTGGAAAGTGGATAGAGAGAGAGGCTCCATAGTGACTTGGCATTGACTGTATCTCCCTTATCATATGCAGTGTGAAATGAACTTTGGCTCCTCTTTATCTGGGGTGTTTATTTACTCTAAGAGAAAGAAGCTCTAAGGATATTCTCCTGGTCCAAGCTTAGAGTTTCAATCTTCCCAGCTCAATACCAGGGCCATTTGGAATGTGAAAATGGTGAGGCCAGAAGTGACCGCTTCATGTGGCTGTAGTAGCAACACCTTCCTGGTGAATATACCAACAGAGAAATAAGTAAGTGAAGTCTTTCGAAAGTGTTGACTCTCTCTAGCCATTTTATGTTTTGGGAAGGAGGTTGTTGTCTTCAGAACTCAAAACAAATTCCCTGGCTACGAATGGAAATACAGCAATTTTCCCCTTGGATTCTTCGTTTTGTGCTTTGTGTTTCTGGGCAGAGACAATAGAAGAAAGGAAAAAAAAGAAAAATACACAACTGAAAGGTGACTTTATGGAAGCCCCCAGCCACAAGTGTCCTCTCTTTATTCCAGAGGAAGAACTTATTCACAGCATTATAGTCCAGAGTTTTACTACTTATTGTTAATCAAGTTGCTGCTACTATAACAAATTCCTGAAGTAAATCAACCTAAACAAAACCAAGGTTTATTTTGGCTCACAGTTTTGGAGTTTCAGTCCATGGTCAGGTGCTCCCATCCCTTGTGAGCTGATGGCAAGGAAGCACATCATGGTAAGAAAAGTTTGGTAGAGCAAACTATTCACTACATGGCAGGCAGAAAGTGAAAAAGAGAATAAGAGACCATTGTCCCACAGTCCCCTTCCAGGGCAACCTCCTAGTGACCTAAAACCACCCATAAAGTTTGCCTCTTGAGGTTTCCATCACTATTTCCCAATAGTCTCACATTGGGGAGCAACCCTTTTACACACTGGTGGCCATTGTGATCCATCTAGATCCAAACTACAGCAGGTCTGATATAATTATTCATCCTTCATTACCCTAAGCATTTTCCATAAGCAAGCTGCTGTGAGAGCTTTAAAGATGTGTGAGATCTGTATTTAGAGATCCATAAAACAAGGTCATGGGTCTACCTAATCTCTGGCATTCTGCAATTGTAAATAGAAACAAACTGGAAAGCACCTAAGAGAAAGCCATACCAAAGAAGTGTTCTTATTAAGAGAGAGAGTGATGTCAAGGATGGGGGCTCTCAGTTGTACCTAGAGAGTGCCTCATAGCCTCAGGGCCAGCAGCTCCCCTGGACATTAGGCCCAGAGCTACCCCTTGGAATGCAGGGGAGACACAGGCCTCAGTGACTTTTCTGGAAGTCCCTGGGATCTCCTTTTCCTTTACCCTTTTTGGGGCGAGGGATTTAGCTCAGTGGTTTCGCCGCCTGCTGCACAAGCACAAGGACCCGAGTTCAATCCCTGGTACCAAAAAAAATTAAAAATAAAAATAAAAAAGGCCTCCTTTACCCTTTTTGGAGAGATGCAGACAGGGTCCTTTTGTTAACCAGGAGTGAGGCTGCCAGGTGGTTTTTCACTTTCCCAGCACCATCTTGTATCCTTTGGAAAGCTTTCATCTGTGTCTCTTCCACTTTCAACATTGGCTTTGTTGACTATCACCAGGAATGTTGAATTACCTCTTTTTTTTTCCCTGAGCAAAGAGCACATTCAGGCAAAGTTTTTGGTCTGGAATGAAGAACTGGTGGGTGATTGTTGCTGTTATAAGAGCAGCAAGTATTCCAGCGTAATTACAATTAGTAGAAATAGAATGCCCAATAACATGTGTCATTTATGGCAACTATATTCTAGTTACAGGGCATGATTTTTTTTCTACGAATGATCACATTGTGATAACCATGGATACTCAGATCAGCTGCCAGAGCCTGAGCACGACAAA